TGCAGTGCAGACCAATTTAAAGCATTTAATTATTAAACTTGTGGCATACAACATGCGAAGTACAAAAAATATATATTTTCTAATATTTAAAAAAAAAAAATTGTTTCACTTTTTATTTCACTTTATTTTGTTTTTATTTGTCAGTGTACGTTATTTCATTATTTTATTTACATATAATAGGCGTACCTAAAATGCTTTTCTAGTTTATTTAGTTTACTTGGTATTTTTCTGTTCAGAGGATCGACTACATGATGCTACTACGATTCTTGAAGTAAATAAAAACATTTATAAACTGGCAAAGAACAGACAAATGCGACAAAATAATATTGGTCAAAATAATAAAATACCATTAAACGCGCATAACGACACATTCATACTGCACGCGTTTGACGCGACGCGACTAAACCAGAACGTTCACGATCTATAATCAACGAAGCTGCAGCGTCTCACATCAAATCACAGGTTTAAGCAACGGAAGTTTTTATAAACCTAAAAACATTTTAATGTCCTCTTTTCCCCTGCAGGATAGATCACATTACAAGGCGGAGACCCCGTGCGCCCCGTCCCACGTTTTCCTGCCCTGCCTGATAACGGATCAATAGAAAAAAACATGGTTCAAGAGGGTGGCACTAGCGGTTTGAAATGAAGACCAGACAAGTTCAGACTCTCACCTCTTAATGTGACAAATTTCCCTCCAAATGGATTTATTGGCTGCCATAGACTCCCAGCCAAAAACGACTACAATCCTATTGGCCCACGTAGCCCGTGATGTCACAGGTGGGCACCTGGAAGTATAAGAGGGCGCCTGCAGAACACGTCACCAACTTAGTTGTCTGAAGGAGACGTGAAACAGGCAGGCTGGAGGCATGGCGAGGTGACACAGCGTTTTGTTCCCTCTCTGGGAATCATGGTAACATGCGTAACCAGAGACGATCCCCTTCTAGGGAACTCGTGCTGTGTCCTCTAGCAGAGACTATGGGGAACGGAATGCCAACTATGCTATTGGTGAGAGAGCACCAAGGAAGTGACAGACATACACCAAACCTTTCCTCAGAAAGGGGCCAAGCCATTGATGGCCCGGGCCACTCATAAAGCTTGGCAGAAATTGGGAACCCAGTTTCAGATGAAAGAGGAACATC